TTTAGAAATCATCTGAAGAACAGATTTGATGCATTAGACACTAATGATTGAAAACCAGAAGAGGTATGGGATGACATCAAGAACATTATACAGGAAGAAAGCAAAAGGTTATTAAGATAAGAAAGGAAAAGACCAAAATGGATGTCAGAAAGGACTTTGAAACTTGCTCTCCTGCATAGAGATGCTAAAGCAAATGGAAGAAATGAGGAAGTAAAAGAGCTTAACAGAAAATTTCAAAGGACAGCTCAAAAAGACAAAGTCAAATATTATAATGAAATGTGCAAAGATGGGCCCTTAGACAACCAAAAGGGAAGAACATGCTCAGCATTTCTCAAGCTGAAAACTGAAGAAAAAAACTCAAGCTTCAACTTGCATTATTGGATTCATTCTATGGGATTCATTCACTCCATATGATAAACACTGGACTTTAAACCACAAGGTCCGCGGTTCGAGCCTGCCAGCTGCTTTGCAGAAGGGTGAGGCTTTCTTCCCCTGTGAAGAACTAAAGCCTCGGAAACACTATGTCCTGGTGTGGCACTGTAGGATAAGCTCTAGACCACAAGGTCAGTTTGAACAGCAAGGTTGGTGGTTCAAACCCACCAGCCACTTCTTGGAAACCCTATACAGGGTTGCTATGAATCAGAATGGACTGGACAGCGCTGCAACAATGGGCAAAATATGGAATGATGCAGAAATCATAAAAATAAGACGGAATATAGAGTCACTGTACCAAAAAGAAATGGGTGATATTAAATGATTTCAAGAGATAGCATCTAGTCAAGAGCCAATGGTACTGAAGAAAGAAGTCAAAGGTGCACTGTAGGCATTGGCAAAGAACAAGGCTCCGAGAATTGATGAAATACAAATTGAAATCATTCAACAAACTGTTGCAGCACTGAGGTTCTCACTATGCCAAGATTGAAAGAACTCACAGTGAGAACCAAGATTGGCCAACTGATTGAAAGAAATCCATTGTTGTGCCCATTCCAAAAAGAGGTGGCCCAATGGAATCTGGGAATCATTGGAAATATTATTAATATAACATGCAAGTAAAATTTTGCTAACAATAATTTAAAAATGGCTACAACAGTACATTGGCAAGGAACTGCCAGAGGTTCAAGCCAGATTCAGAAGAGGATATGGAATTAGGGATATCACTGTTGATGTCAGGTAGATCTTGGCTGAATGCAAAGAATATCAGAAAGTATTCATCAGTAAGCATTTCAGTTCATCTTTACTTCTAACAAACAAAGTTGTGTCATCTGCATATGCAATACTGCAGATTGTTAATGAGTCTGTCTCCAATCCATATGTTTACCTGTGCTTTATTGACTATGCAAAGGCTTTCAACTGTATGGATCAAGACAAGCTGTGGACAACATTATGGAGAATGAGTATTCCGGAACACTTAATTGTGTTCATAAGGAACCTGTACATACACCAAGAGGCAGTCCTTCAAACAAAACATAAGAACAGTGAATAGTTTAAAATTAAGAAAGTTGTGTGCCAGGGTTGTATTCTTTCACCATACTTATACAATCTGTACATTGAGCAAATAATTTGAGAAACTGAATTATATGAAGACAAACATGGTATCAGGATTGGAGGAAGACTCAGCTACAATTTGCAATGTGCAGATGATACAGTCTTGCCTGCTGGAAGTGAAAAGGACTTAACCATATCTACTGATAAAGATGAAAGACTACAAATTTCGGTATGGGTTGCACCTCAAATGTAAAGAAAACAAAAATACTCACCATTGGACCCATAAATAATAAGTGGAGAAAAGACTGAAGTTGTTAGAATTCATTTTGCTTGGCTCCACTATCAACACTCATGGAAGCAATAGTCAAGAAATCAAACAACGTATTGCATTAGGCAAATCTGCTGCACAAGACCTCTTTAAATTGTTCAAGAGCAAAGATGTAGGTTTAATAAATAAGGTGTGTCTGACCTAAGTCATGGTATTTTCAATAACTTCATATGCATGTGAAAGTTAAGACAGTGAATAAGGAAAACCGTAGAATTGATGCATTTAGGTTACATTGTTGGGGAATATTAAAAGTACCATGGACTGCCAAAAGAACAAACAGATCTATGTTGGAAGAAGTACAGCCAAGAATGCTCCTTAGAAGCCAGGAGGGCAAAACTTCATCTCTTATACTTTGGACATATTATCAGGAGGGACCAGTCTCTGGAGAAGGACATCATGCTTGCTAAAGTGGAGGGTTAATGAAAAAGAAAAAGACCCCAAATGAAATGGATTGGCAGTGACAGCAACAGCAGTGGGCTCAAATTTAACGAGTGTGAGGATGGCAGAGGACCGGGCAGTGTTTTGTTCTGTTGTGTGTAAGGTCGCTAAGGTCACTATGAGTTGGAACCGACTCGACAGCACCTAACAACAACAGGCGCAGGGGGGAAAGAGTGTCCACAAGATGGTGGAAGCGATGGGGGGGGGGGGGCTGTCACAGAGAGCTACCCTGTAGAGGCAAGACCCAAAGGGCTATGAGGGGCTGCTAGAATCTAAAGGGGGCACCACATTTGGTGACCAGACTCTGGAGCTTCTCTTTGGGCTAAGGGGCCCAAGGAGCCATTGGAAGCTTTGAATCTGAGAAAGGAGTCAATCAGAATGTGGTAGGGGAACAGAAGGGATGAGAGGCTAGGGGGTTCCATGGGGGAGAGCTCACTGTGGGCCTGGAGTACTGGCTGCTAGGATCCTAAACTCTGTGGGGCAGGGGGGACTGGCAGGGGCAGCCAGGGCACTGTAGTGCCCACCAGGTGCAGGAGGGAGGGATGCCCTGAAGCAGTAGCCACTGCACTGGTACCTGTGATCAGCTGGTCTAGGAGCCACCCAGCCTGCTTGGGGACCCAAAAACTGGTTTACCCAGCACAAATGAGCTAACCCAGGGATCCGGTTCCCTCTGAGACACCTAAACTTTGGCTCTCTTGTGCCCTCCCCCCACATCTGGGCCAAGCTGTGGTTTCTGGCACAGCTGCCAAGTTTTGGTACCGCCCACCCACTCCCCGCAGGCTGTACTGGCCAGCCCAGCTTCTTAATTGCTGGGTGGGGAGTTGTTCTGCAGGCTGGTACACTGAGAGGTGGCCTTGGCTGCTGTGGGGCACATGGGCACTGGCCTGACCACCAACTGGCTGTGGGACGGTGTGACCCAGCATGAGGCCAACATCTGACTCTGGGGGCTGGGTTCCTCTGCAGGGGCCATCAGCCCATAGAAGTCTGTCTGGAGGGGTCTTTGAAATGGACACTAAGGTTGAACAATAGGCCTGGCTAATCCAGGACTTCCCATTTCCTAGGCAGAAAACCTGGGCTCAGGTGTGGGCCTAGACTGATCTCAAGTCAGGCTCAGGGATCTGTCCTGGGCAGTCATCATCCAGGCCTAGCCAGAGCTGAATGGAAGTTGGGCTGGTAGGAAGGTCAAAGAGAGAAGTTGAGAAGCAGTCCTCCCTGGCTCCAACTCAGGAGGGCCAGGTGCCCCAAACACACCCCCTTGGACACACCCACCACCCACAAGCACACACCTCTACACACAGCTGCCACTCAGAACTATAAACACCATCACCATGACAGACAACTCACACACCCTACTCTCTGCCTTAAAGAGGCAGATATACCAGCTTAAAGCTCCATTAGCCCACAAGTACCCCACCTACCCACTCATATCCCTAAACTTTGACTCCACTCCACCATCAGAACCCACCTGCTGGCCTTAGGGCTACCAGGCCTCAGTGGACAGATACAGTTAAAGGGAGCAAACTGGGGAGGTATGGAAGGGAAGAGCTTCTCCAAGAGAACTCAGAAGCTGCCACTGCCCAACCAGGCAAGAAGCTGAGAAGCAGTGTGTTCCTCCAGGGCAGGAATTACAGAGAATTCAACCCTATGCTCCCCAACTATGCCCGGCATAGAATAAGCCTTCAATACTGGGGCAGCCATCGCAACCATACATCCCTAAGGAAGCTGAGTGAGCATGGGGGAGACTAGAGGCCTGGTTCCTCGCTAGGAAAGACATTCTAGAATGCAAATCTGATTCTTGCTTAAAAATATCCCATGATCTCCACTGCCTACAGGGAAACGTTCACTGTGATGAAAGTCCTTCACCAACTGACCCAAAGCTTTCCTGCATCTTTCCCTTCACCTTCCTAGTAGTCCTCCCACCCTCTAGTGGTACTGAAGGAGGGTGTACTACAAGCACATAGAAAGAGGAAGATGGGTTCCAGAAAGGGCAGGACCCTTCCAGAGCCTTTGGATGTTCAAGCTGAAGCTGTCTTAGGCCAGCCCCAAAGTCAGCAGTGGCCTGGGCATTTGGGGCTCATGTTCTAGAAATGTCCTGATTGACTTGCCCTGTTTTCCTGTGGTTCTCAGGTATTATTGTTATGTCTCAAAAATCCCACTGGTGTTGAAGAAACCCCAGCCCATGCAGCCACTAAGGAACTGTGCAGTGCTGGGGCATGGAGCTAGATTCCTCTACTCCCCAAACACAGGCATCCAGTGGCTTCACACACAGACCCAGGCAGCACACACACCCCTTCAACTCTTCCTACCCAGGGAGGAGCTGTAGCCTAGGTTAACAAGCGCAACCATCCACAACCTTTCTGGACTCAGGCCAGGGCCACCACATAGAAAACCTGCTTTTATTCTGGGGGAGGCCAATGTTCCCATTCCAGCCTCCTTCCAGGGAGGTCTCAGCCCTGGTCTCCAGTCTCCCTCCCTCATTCCAGCCCTTCTGCATCCTGGGCTTTTAATTTCCCAAATCTCCTTCCCTGCGCCACCCCACTCCAGAGAGCAGGTCTGGATCCTGCCTGGGTGCTCTTCTTCAAGGGTGCTCCTTCTTTTAGCACCTATCCAGCTCACGGCCCCACTGGACCCCTCCTCTAGGTGGGCCTCCCCACCCCTGGGCTGGCCTCGAAGATTCTGCCCCAGACCTAGGGACAGGCTCGTCCAGGTCGTCTTCTGACAGTTCTTCTGTCAGCTTACTTTGCTGGCCTCAGATCTTGGAGGACTCGAGCCGAGGGCTCCAGGGCGTAGGGGTCTCCCTCAGTGCCCGCAGCTCCTGCTCCAGTGCCTGGTTACGGCGGTACATGTCTATGTAGCCCCCTTGGATCTCCCGCTGATAGCGCAGCACCCGATCCTTCTCTTCCTGCCATGTTCTCCGCTCCTGTTCAAAGCGCAGAGCCTGCTCCTGACCCCGCAGCCGTTCTTGCAGCAGCTCAGCCCATAGCTGCTCTGCACCGTCCCTGGCCTCACTGCTTCCGGCCTCCCCCAGCAGTCCTCGACTCTTGCAGTCATCAGTCTCACAGCTGCCCGGGGCTTCCACTTGAGGGGTCTGGGCCTGCTCCTGCAGGTTCCGCACAGCTTCACGAAGTCGGGCCAGCTCCGCATCCTGGGCCTGCGCTTGCACCCTGCTGCCTCGAAGCTGCGTCTTTAGACTGAAGATCTCAGCCAACTTCTGGGCCAGCTCCGCCTGGGCCTCCCGAAGCTGCTGCTTCAGGAGACTGATCTCCGCAGTCTTCTGGCACACCTGCAGAGGGACCCAGGATGGGCAGGGTGAGGGGGGCAGAGGACAGGACCGCAACTATTGGGAGGGGGAACATCTCTGAGCACCTGGGTGTTTCTCACCTCCCATCTGGCTTCCTCCTCTGGTCTGGTGCTGGGGTCGCCATCTGGGAGGGTGCCCGGGGGCCGAGGCTCAGGGCCTAGGCCCTGCTGAGCACGCAGCTCCTTGCGCAGGCGCCGCTGCTCCTGCTGAGCCATGAACAGCTGCAGCTGGAGGTTGCGCTCACTCCGCTCGGCCTTCTGGGCAACCTCATGCAGCCGCTCCACATATAGACGCTTGAGCTCTGACAACCATAGCCGCTGACGTTCCTCCAGCACCTGTTCAGGGGAAGAGGAGCTGCCTTACTGGACACCTACCCACGGCCCCTCCTGGACAGGGAGCTCCTGCATTTACAGCCTTGGCCTGTATCTTGTACCTAACACTACAGGTCCCAGTGCCCCAGACTCACAGCTGCCTGATGTGGGATGCCTTCCAGAGGAAACTGCTCTCTGTCCCAACTCACTCCCAGACAAGGAGTACCAGTGACATACAGGGTTGGGGACAGGAGCTGAGTCTTTTATTTCTTTCATACTCTCCTATGCTCAGAGCCATGTGGGTGAGCTGGCTGGGGACCTCTAGTCTACCCCACACCTCAACCAATGGGAAGGAACACAGGAGGACCCCAGAGAAGGGACCACCCTCACCTGTGTGAAGGGATTAGAGCCTTCCTCATCTCCGAGGCCCCTTTTGAGCTCCTCACAAGTCTCAGACAGCACAGGGTTCACCATCTCCTCAGCAGAGGGGCACGAGAATTCATAGGGGGGTGGTGGCTCTGGTAGGCAGCTCAACACAGCCAGGGGTCCTGACTCCTTGGGGCCCCGAGAAGCCCGGTCCAGGGAGCCTCCGAGGTGGTTGATGTGGCCTATGGAGGAGCTGAAGGGGCTGGGGCCAGTGCCGGGACTTCGGCCAAAGCTCCCTCCACTGGAGGAGTCTGACAAGCTGGACTCAGGCTCGGGGCCACCCTCATCCAGGCTGAGGGCGTGCAGCAGCTGAGCCCGAGCCTGTGCCTGACTGGCCCGGGGCCCTGGGCTCAGGGGTGGGTGGCAGGCCAGGGTGTGCAGGCTGCCATTGCTGCGCCATAGCTTCTGGCCCTTGTGGGCTGCCAGGCTCTGCATGGATAGGAAGCTTTTTCCAGTGCCCGCAGTGGGCTTGAATACTGATGGGCGAATGCGGCACTGCAGGAAGAAAGGACAGCATGAGGCTCTGGGCTGGCCACCTGGTCTGCCCACCCGATGCCCCCACAGCCCTTGAGAATCCTCCTGGAGAGCAGTGTGCCTGTGTTACCAGCAAGTAATGACCGAGATTAGGCCAGCCCACAGCAGTATTTATTTCACATCCCAGCCTACCTACCTTGTCCTGCCCAGTCCCAGGGTCTCCCAGTGCCTCCCCAGTAAGATGAAGGGCATGGATAAAGGTGCACCTTGTCAAAGCGGCCCCGCTCAGGCAGTGAGGTCTTGCTGAAGTCCCCAGCCCAGGGATGTTCACGGTAGTAGAGGGTGGCGTAGTCGGTGGGCTCATTCCGAGGGGCTCGCTTGGAGGTCTTGCCATCCTTCTTGGGAAGGTGCAGGTAGCTGAGGAGCTCACGCTGTCCTAAGCCCTTCCGGAGAAGACCATCAGGCTGGCGGGAGCCCCGGGACCCTGAAAGTGCGGCCCGTAGCTCTTCGGGAGAGATATCCTGCCGTTCCAACAGGCTACTCACGCTGCCCATGGCAATGCCAGCAGGGCCTGGGGCTGTGGCCATGAAGTTTCAACAGGACACAGGCAGCAGCTGCTTCTGAGGGTCAGGAGACTCCATCAGGGACAAATAGGTATTTATTGCCCACCTCCCCAACGTCCCTGAAACCAGGTGCTTGGCTCTGGAGGATAGTTTCCAGGGGCCTAGGTGCAGGGGCAGGCAGGTGTGGAAGAATCCTAGAATTCCCAGGTCAGCAAGAGAAAGCCACCTGCCCAACACCCTGGGAGACTAGGCAAGTCTAAGGAAAATGAAATGAATATTGTCCCAGCTGGGGCACCTAGACTACAGAGAGTGTGGAGAGTGAGTTGACCTTGAAGCAGCAGGATAACTCCTTTTTCCCCAGGACTGAGCAACAAAGAACCAAAGAGACTAGATTCAGGCTCTCTGTGAACCCTGACCTCACTCTCCTCCTGGGCATCCCACCAAATTTAGGGGCTGAGTTAGGGTACAGGGAACTGGGCTCATGGCCTCAGATTCTCCATTCCTTCTTCCTCCCTTGGGAGGGGGAAAACCCAGTTCAGTCCCTCTTCCTGCTAAAGGTCAGAGTTCCCCAAGGGAAACATCTGGAATGGTGGGGCCTAGGGGCTACAACGGGAGGGATACAAACAGGAAGGTCCTGAGGGGAGGAAGGATGGAGTGGACAATGGACATGGTTTCCGGAACAGGTGTTCTTGTCTGTGCAGGGGGGAAGGGAAAGGGAAGGGGCCCCAACCCCTGCCCGTCTTTACAGATGCTGCCTTTCCAAAGCTCACCACAGGCAGGGCGGACTCCCAAACCCTCCTGAAGCCAATCAGTGAGTGACCTCACCAAGCAACTCCCTCTCTGAGCTTTGGTTTCCTCACTAAAAGAGAGCTATACATATCATCACCAGAGGGGTATTGATGGAAAATAGTGCTTATGGCATTTTAAATTTCTGGATGATCTCTCACAGCTGAGATGGAAACTGTGATGGCGAACAGAAACTGCTCAGTGTTGTGCCCCCCTCAAGTGGCACCCAGGGCATGTGCCATCCATAAGTACCATATACTAGATAACACCATTGTCATCAAGTGGATTCCAACTCATAGCAACCCTAAAGGATAGAGCAGAACTCGCTGTTTGGGTTTCAGAGACTATAAAGCTTTATGGGAGCAGACTACCTCATCTTTCTTCCTCGGAGGGGTTGGTGGGTTTGAACTGCTGACCTTTTGGTTAGGAGCCCAACAAGTAACTCACTTGTATTCTAGCTATCCCCTGCATAACATACAGGGTAAGTTAACATGACAAAGCACCCAGGCCAGAGCCTGCTGAGGTAAGCCAGTCATTCCTATGAGTGATGATGTCTGACTGGTTGGCCAGTTACCAATCCTGTGGACCTCTCTGTGCAAGGACCCTAACTCTGGAAGGCAGGTGCTGTTCACGGTTCCTAAGGAATTCCTCAGGTCCTGACCAGCATCCAACACATAGTAGGTGCTCAGAAAGGCTAAGCAGGATGGGTAAGTGGATGCCATCCTTTCTGTCCATGCCCACGTGCAGTTTTGCACATTCCTGGACCACTAGTCGGCTGCAGCTGTGAGTCCCTGCCACCCACCCAATGTGCTTCCGGGACACCCACTCCAGCCCCAAACAATGGTCTTTAGGAGGCTCCATCTTCCTCAACCATTTCCAGGTTTTGTATTTGTGGTAGACAAGGGAGTGGAAGGAAGGGCCATGCCCTGCCCCCACATCTTGTAGCCTTCAAACCTCACTCGGGGCACAAAGAAGCTTCCCAACCATCAGACCCATGGGCAGTGGATCTGAGTGTGAATACATCCCAGGCTCCAATCCCTCTGATGGTGTCGTAGCTATATAGGGTAGGGAAGATGGGGGGGAGACGGGGTACAGAGACAGGTAAAGGAACTCACCAGTGCTGAGTTCCTATGGCAACGTGGTCCTGGGTAGAGGTCTACCTAAGTTCTGTGACACACTTACTGTTCCTATTTTTAGGTAAGGACACTGACTCAGAAAGATGTGGTGACTTGTCCAAGGTCATAAGCTGGTCAGGGTAATGATGATCCCAGCACGTGGCTCCTGAATAACTAGTTAAAGGCCCTGGGATGTCAAAATAATTGGAATCCAAGCATCTGGTCTCCCATCTAGACATCCCTTTTCCCCACTAGACTCCCCATACCCACGGACACACTTGTCTTGGCACTCCTGGGAGGCAGCCTGGGGAGGAATGCAGTGGACAACTGGGTGTCTAGCCTTGTGGAACCCTTGATATGGCTCAGTTTCTCCATCTCTGTAATAGGAATGACTCTGCCCTGCCTTCCAGGAGAAAGGGCTTGTGAACTGTAAGTTCTGTGCGAACAGGGGGTGGTGATGTTGGTCATGGTGCCAAATACACCCACTTCACTCCACACATACTACCCCACTTTCTCCTGGGCAGTGCCTCACTTCCTGAGACAACAGATACTCTGCTTCCCCGACGATGGGGCTCAGTCATGGGTCACAGCAGTGCATACAACACTCATAACACAGTCAACAATCAATCCCACCCAGCAGTGCAGAGATGCCTACAGAAGAGGACACAGTGCAGGCAGGTAGTCCCTCCACCAGCAGACACAGCACACGGCACCCCTGGGACACACATACGCAGATGCCCCAGCATAAAGACCCAGGTGGCCTTCCCAGAGCCTAGTCTAGATGCAGGTGCAGTTGTGTATGTAAGGATAGTAAGAAACCATCATAGAGTTTCATGAACTCTATGATGTAGGTGTAGCTGACCCCCTTCCTTGAGGTCCTACGCCCTCCACCCCTCCTAGGGTATGACCAGCTCTTCCAGGAGGGCTCAAGCCCCTGGTTTTACGGAGACTCCAGCTGCCAGTCCCGGTCTCAGTCTGGGGACTAGTCCCTCCTCCTCAAGGGGTCCATTGTCACCCCCTCCCCCAACACACATTCCTTCCTGTTGCTGGGAAGCCAGGGATTGGTATGGTCAAGCTGGGGCAGCTGTGTAAGCTGGGCTGGAGACGATTTAGAGGGAGAAGGGTGGGAAGGCAAAGACCTCGAAGCCACAGCTTCAATAAGATACCGGCAGAGCAAAAGACCAAAGGCCTCAGCCAGCTGCTTCTACTACCCTGCCCAGAGCTAAGTGCCTGCCTTGGGGCCCAGAGCTTTGCACAGAACTGAAATTCCCCACCAATCAGTCGGGCAACAGAAGACATCCTCCCTGGGCCTCAGCTAGCCCCAACTAAGTCTTTATTTCTGTTCTTATCACCTGACCCCAAGACTGGTTGGCAATACCAAAAACCCTGAGCATAGAGGTACATCTCTTTTGGACAATCCTTGTGGAGATGGAAGCAGAGGGATTGAACTGGCTTCGAAGCAGAGAAGGAGAGGACTAGCTTGGAGATTGGCCACACCCAGTAGTGGGAACCTTGGATCAAAACTGACCTGGGCACTACCAAATCCTTGTAACACACATATCCCTTTTCTTCAGAAGAGGAAACTAAGATCCAGGATGTGAAATACTGTGTCTAAGGCCCTGGTGTTGTTGTTGTTAAGCGCTGTGGAGTCGGTTCTGACTCATAGAGACCCTGTAAAGGGTTTCCAAGGAGCAGCTGGGGAGTTTGAACCACTGACCTTGTGACTGAAATCGACCTTGTGGTCCAGTGTATTATCCTGCAGTGCCACACCAGTAGCGCTGCAAAATAAGCGCATGACTGCTAACCGTAGGCCAGAGTTCAAACCCAACAGCCACTCCTCAGAAACTTTACACAGGGTCGCTATGTGTTAGAACTGACTCACTTAACAACAACAAGGTCCATTCAGAGAGAAAATGTATAAATATAAAAAGCATGTCTGTCTTATTAGGAACCATCCCCTGACCCCACCTTGCATCTCTTCAGGGGTGGACATCCTAGTCCCCATGTGAACAGGAAGCTCCCAGTCTGAGACATTGGCTGTTGTTAGCCCTTCCTGAGCTCTGGCCTCAGGGGAGGGTCCCACCACCTGCTGGGGGATCAGCTTAGAGGGCGTGTCTGCAGCTGCCCCAGAGGAATGAGACTGGAATGTCCCAGCTCTAAAAGAGAGGTCAGTGAGCAAAGGGGCCCAGATTGGGAAGGAGATATTTGGGTGCAGAGCGTATTGTCAAACTCCTGCGGGAGTGACGCTTAGTATTACTCTGTAGTAGTCACTCATACTTGCATAGCCCTCTACAGCTTTTCTTAGCCCTTTTATTTCATCATCTTATCTCATCTCCACAACAGCCTCTGGGGGTTGGCAGGACAGTAATTACCTTTATCCCATTTCACAAACAGGGAAATTGAGGCCCAGAAAGAGGAAGTGGGTTGCCCCAAATCCCACAGTGCCAAGCAATCTGGACGCCTGGGAAAAAGGCCTCTCTGCTGGACCTGGCTGTCCCAGCCAGGGGTCATTAGTTAGTCACCAGATACAGGCTCTATCTGTGATTGTGTGCCCAGGCCCCAACACCCACTTCTCTCCACGGGCATCTGCTAGCAGGCAGGGTTTGGATCCCAGCCCCAACTCCCAGTCTAGATTTTCTCCTGCCTGCCCTTGGGTCAGGTAGAAATAGTGGGACCACCGTTCATATGTGGACTCTAAGCCCTGGATGCTGCTCCAGCGGCGGTGGCGGGAGCAGGCTGCCGCGTTCATTCACAGTCTCACACATGCACACCCACGTACAGTCAGCCGCAGAGAAGCCCTGCCCGCCTAAGAGGGCCCTAGGAGCAGGCTGATAGCCCGCTGGGACGGCCTCCTGCTACAGTTCCTTCCTCAGGCAGAAGGCAAACGGGAAAGGGTGGGGAGCCCGGACCCCTGGGTCACTCCAGGAGCGCCATAATCGTTTCCCATGAGGGACTTGCTGCGGAGGGAGGGGGCCACGGTGGCGGGTCAGGGGGACACCCACTTTGGCTAAAGCTTGTGGTAAAGCCGTGGGACGGTGTTCCAGCCGCCAAGAGCTAGGAACATCCCCCCATCCACATGTCGGGATATCTGGCATCAAGCTGCAGCCTGGACGGGGAGGAGGT